CCAAACCACACCCACTGCCGTGGAGTCCATTCTGACCCACAGCGCCCCTAGAGGACAGAGTGGAACTGCCCACAGGGTCTCCAAGGCTGTCAATCTTCGTAGAAGCAAAGCCAAACCACACCCACTGCCCTGGAATCCATTCTGACCCACAGCGCCCCTAGAGGACAGAGTGGAACTGTCCACAGGGTCTCCAAGGCTGTCATCTTTGTGAGAGCAGGTCTCCAGGTCTTTCCCACACAGAGCCACTGGGAGAGTTCCAGTGGCCAGTCTTTTGTTTAGCAGCAGAGCATTTAACCACTACACCACTAGGGCTCATTGTGGTGCAAACAGTTAAGGATTCGGCTGCTAACTGAAAGGTTGGCACCTTGGAAGAAAGGCCTGGTGCCCTTCCCAAGGTCACAGCCACTTGAAACCCTGTGGAGCAATGTTCTATTTTGTCACCTGCTGGGTCACTGTGAGGCAGAGTCATCTCCATGGCAACGGGTTTTAACATACAAGGTGCCCGACTCCCTTTCACAGCATCCCCACAAGTGGCGGTTTTTCACTGTGGCGTTGAAGCCTGTCTTCCTTGGTGAGCTCTACCCATAACACCATCCCACACGCCCCACACTTAAAACTCCAATGTACGTGACCCCTAACATCCTCCCAAAGTCTCCTTATTGCTGCTTCCAAATTTTACTTTTTGTTCAGTTCTATAAAAATAGTTTATGCAACATATGCAGATAAGACGAGAACGAAGCCTGCAGAAACAGAGAGAATTTTAATCAGCTTACTAGTCCAATTTGTCAGAGTCTTCTGATTCCTATCAAACACCTTCGAAGCAGGCTGTTACCTATTAATGCCTGCCTCAGCCTCTTCCTCTCGGGCAGAGATTTCAGGCTGGTACATCGCATGGGAGTTCTTTTCTGCTCTGGGGCTCCAGAGGAATTGTTGGAGGCAAAATTCGCCTCAAGGAAGTCAGAAGGCTTGTGATTCATCCCTGGTGTTTTAGAATTTTTTCCTGCATCGGAAGCTCACTCCTCCTTCCAGTCTCTTGCCCTGCACCCACCAACTCCCATCACTGCCCACCGTCTCCATGACCTTTAAAATGCTGTGCAAAGCTTTGACTGTGAACTTGGCCCATTGTCTAGTTGGGGTTAGTATCTATGTCAACTACTACTATGAACTCCTCACTGGTAGCGCCTCAAACCTAAAACCAAACCCACTGCCATCAAGTCCATTCTGACCCACAGCGCCCCTAGAGGACAGAGTGGAACTGCCCACAGGGTCTCCAAGGCTGTCAATCTTCACAGAAGCAAAGCCCAAACCACACCCACTGCCATGGAGTCCATTCTGACCCACAGCGCCCCTAGAGGACGGAGTGGAACTGCCCACAGGGTCTCCAAGGCTGTCAGTCTTCACAGAAGCAAAGCCCAAACCACACCCACTGCCGTGGAGTCCATTCTGACCCACAGCGCCCCTAGAGGACAGAATGGAACTGCACCACAGGGTCTCCTAGGCTGTGTTCTTTATAGAAGCTGACTGCCACGTCTATGTCCATGGAGCTGCCTGGTGGGCTTGAACCACTGACCAGTTGCTTGACCACTGCACCACCAGGGCTCCTTGCTTTGAGGTCCCCAAAGGTGAAAAGTGTGAACACCACGTTTGCTTCCTCCTTTACTCATTTTCCCCTCCTTCCTCCCTATCTGTGCAGTCTTAAGATCTGAGCTAAGGTGGAGTGAGACAGACAAAGAATATCTCACATTCATAAGATGCCTTGTCCTGCCCACCAGTAGGGTATACCTTTCCTTGTTGGACTGTGGAAGCCCACTTGGCCACAATTCTTTGGCTCTTCCCTTGGAGTCCAGTGACCATGAGGCCCTCCCAGGCCATAAGGCCAGAGCTTCTAGGTCACTGTACAACACCTGCACCGGTGAAGACAAGCCAACCAGCCCAGCCTGGATACTCGCCCACCTGCCAAAAATGGTCATTTCATTTTTCTCAAAAGAACCACCAAAGTGCATTTCAAAGACAAAACTACACATTAGTAGGAGCCTAGGGTGCAAGGTGTTTTATCAGGCCTTTGGAGGAAACTGAGAAGGGAGAGAGGGTCCCTTCCCCTGGGCCGTCCGCTCATGTGACAGCGTTCTGGTTGTGTGACAGTGTTCTGTTCATGTGACGGTATTCTGTTCATGTGACAGCATTCTGTTAATGTGACGGCATTCTGTTCATCTGATGGTGTTCCGTTCATGTGACGGCATTCTGTTTGTGTGATGGCGTCCTGGTTGTGTGACAGCATCCCAGTCATGTGACGGTGTTCTGTTCATGTGACCCTACTCTGGTTGTGTGACAGCATTCTGGACAGGTGATAATGTTCCAGTCGTGTGACAATGTTCCTGTCAGGTGGCAGTGTTCTGTTTCTGTGACGATGTTCCATTTCTGTGACAGGTTTCTGGCCAGGTGATGGATTCCTGTTGGCTGATGGTGTTCTGTTTGTGGTCAGGTGGCTGCATTCCAGTCAGGTGATGGCATTCCAGTCAGGTGACAGCATTCTGGTCTGGTGACGGATTCTGGTTGTGTGATGGCATTCCATTTGTGGTCAGATGGCTGCATTCTGGCCAGGTGACAGCATTCTGGTCAGGTGATGGATTCTGGTCAGGAGACAGTGTTCTGTTTGTGGTCAGGTGACTGTGTTCTGGTCGGGTGATGGTGTTCTGCTCAGGTAACAGCATTCTAGCTGGGTGACAGACCTGGTCGGGTGATGGCATTCCATTTGTGGTCAGGTGGCTGTGTTCTGGTTGGGTGATGGTGTTCTGGTCAGGCAACAGCATTCTGGCCAGGTGACAGATCCTGGTTGGGTGATGGTGTTCTGTTTGTGGTCAGGTGACAGCATTCTGGCCGGGTGACAGATCCTGGTTGGGTGATGGCATTGCGTTTGTGGTCAGGTAGCTGCATTCTGGCTGGGTGACAGCATTCCGGTCGGGTGATGAATTCTGGTCGGGAGACAGTGTTCCATTTGTGGTCAGGTGACACTGTTCTGGTTGGGTGACGGATTCTGGTCGGGTGATGGCATTCCATCCGTGGGATGTGACCTTGTTCCTGCTGTGTGACGGTGTTCCGGTCGGGTGACACTGTTCTGGTCGGCTGACAGCAGTGCCCACTGTACCCTGGCTGGAACGCTGAGAGGTGCCCCTCCTCACCGACGAGTCGCTCAGTGCAGAGGCAGGACTGCCGTTTGGATCTTCCGATGAGTCACTGTGGCTGTTGCCCCCCCCAGAGACGCGTCACTGTGATTCAGTGCTAAGTGAGTGTCGGGTGGGGGCTGCAGTGGTCCCGGTTAGAGGCTTAATTGACACCCTGGGTGCAGACTGAGACGGAACCACACCTCCCACTGCTGCTGGGAAGACGTCAGCGCCACGTAGGGAAGGCATCTGCTGCCTCTCGCCCGCCTGCTGGGAGCAGCCTCAGCCGCCAGCACTAAGCCAGCACCTTCCGGGTCCACCGCTCGGGGCAGAGAAGGGAGGGCACCCTTGCCACTGGCGGCTTAGACACTGAGACAGGGCTCATGTTAGAAGTCATAGAAGGTAAGTGCCACGCTGGTGGCTGTCCCTCCAGTTGTGTGTGTCTGGGTGTCCAGGCTGCCTTGATCATACTGTCATTTGCACAGAGAAAAGAGAGGCCGCCTAGGTGGCTCGATACAATCATGCCTTCAAGTGCCTTTGCTGCTTCTCAGAGGTGGCGCTCCCCAGAGAAGCATCGTAACTTCCCCCCGTATCGTGGCTCTGCCCAGGCTCAGGGATGCCGTCGTAGAAGTCGCAGGAGCCTCCCATGACTTAAACCAGCGAGGAGATGGCTTGTGTCAGGAGCATCAGGGAGAAACTGCCGAGGGGTTTCTGAGCCGATGACCTGGTCTTGTTGGAAGCAGGTCTGGAGAGTCAGGCTGGGGGCATGCCAGGCTGCCAAGAGCTGCAAGAACGCACCTGGGCTAGGGGTGAGCTGTTCACCGTGAAACACCGGGACTCCCAAGGGAGCCACTCGGCAGCAGGGCTAGTCCCTGTCCTCCTGTGACAGTCAGCGCCAGACTTCAGGCTGACGCCCTGCGAGTGTCCCAGGACGCGGCCTCGTTCCGAGATCCCTGTACTGACACAGGTCAAGGGCCGTTCATCAGTTCATCCGGGAAGTCACTAAAGTGCATCTTTTTAACCGATAGATAACCTACTGCCGTGTTGGGCACAGGTTGAACCAAACAGTGTTTTTCTGAAGACAGTGATTCCCCGGAGCTGTTTTTGTTTCAATTTCCTCATGACATGTTGTTGTTTATTTGTCTGAAAAGTAGTTTGTCCCACAAATGCCTAACATGCCGTGTCTCTCTCTCTCTCTCTCTCTCTGGCCCTGTGCGTATCCAGTTAATGGGACCCCTGGTAGCCAGCTGTCCACTCCGCGCTCCGGGAAGTCCCCGAGTCCGTCGCCCACCAGCCCGGGAAGCCTCCGGAAGCAGAGGGTAAGGATGGGCTCGCTGGTTGCAGGTCTGCCGGCCCCTGGTGCGCTCAGCACAGGTGGCGCGTCCTCCCAGTGCCGCCGGCATCTCGGTCACCACAGGCCAGGGCAGGAGGTGGTCACCGTGGGGGGCCTCTCAGCCAGGCCGTGGGGCTTTTCACTGCTCAGTAACCTCTTCCCCTTCTCAAGGCTGAGGAGAAAGGCCACATGCTGCCTCGCTTGTAAACCTCCCTCCCCAGCTCCTTGTTCTGAGCGCCTGCAAGACTCCTTGGGGGCTGGTTTGTAAGCCTCCTCCGTTGCAATACGTTTGATTGGGTCCAGGTTTGCTCGTCAGCCCCTCCAGGAAAAGTGAAAGTGTCGTTGTTGGAGGAGGGCTCTGGCGGGCAGTTGTTTCAGGGTGCAGAGCGGGGCTGGGTACCTAGTGACCCCCTTCCCGTCCTCACTGTGCATTTCTGTTTTAGTCTCTTGTGTACTACAAAGAGCTCTGGGTGGCCCAGGGGGTAAGGCATTTGGCTGCTAACCAAACCGTCAGTGCTTTGAACCCATCAGCCACCCCATGGAGGAAAGATGAGACAGTCTGCTTCCGTAAAGACTGACAGCCTTGGAGACACTATGGGGGATGCTATGAGTTGGAATCAACCCTATGGCAGTGAGTTTGGTTGCTTTTGTGGGGTATAACCTATGAGTAGTGGCCGGGGCCTGAGGGCCAAGTGGACAAGTTGCTGGAAGTAGAACTAGTTTCTTCACGCTACGAAATGGGGTGGTGGCCAGCCCCGCCTTCAGGCTTGGGGGACAGCTGCTGTTGTCTCCTCACCTGTAGCATTTGTCCATTCCAGAAGGAGCAGGCAGGAGCAAGAAGCATGGGAAGGAAAGACGGGGGTGGGAGGTGCGTGTAGGGAGGCATCTCCCTGACGGTCAGGGTCCAGCCCCTCCTCCACGGCTCTTGGATTCCAGCCCCAAGGGCTGCCGGGTCTCTGCTAGGGTTTGCTTTGCAACGAAGCGCCTGAGTTCCATACATTTCAGCTGCGCCCAGGCTGGAACCCCTCTGTGCACAGCCCATGCCAAGGTTCTGTCTGCAGGTGTCCGAAGTGCCGGCCGGTTAAAAGAGGGGGGCAGGGGAGCCCCATCCCTCTGGGGCCCAGTGCACCAAATGTCCGGTCCGGTTCTCTTTTGCTGCCCATTCACCTGGCGCCAGGCTTCCTTTGTGAGATGTGATGAGGCCTGAGATCTGCCGTGAGCTCTGACGCTAAATGGTTGTGTGATGTCAGAGTTCCAAAAGGGGCCGTGAGAGAAAGGGGCTCTTCCGGCCAGGAATGTCGTCACCCCCTTCCTGTCCCCCCCGAGTGTTTGCAGTACAGATGTCTTCTTGGTGCCAGTAGGATCTGTCACGTTAAAGTACAGGACTCATTGGTGAATAGCTCTCTCGTCTTCTTAAGGTCTGTCCTTGAGTGGCCAAGGGTTAGTGTGGCCACTGTTCTCGGGGGGTCACCGGCAGTTCCCTTGTGTACAGGCAGTGTGGCGGAGGATGACCCTCTTTTCTGGAACATTCCTGCTCTCTTGAAATTATTCTCTGGTGACTTGTTTCTTAGGGGTCATCAAGTCTTCTCTGAGGCATGGTGACCCCGTGAGACAGAGTGGAACTGCCCCACAGGGTTTCAAGGCTGTCATCTTTAGGGGAGCAGGGCAAGTCTTTCTCCTGGGGGTTTGAACTGACCAGTTTTCAGTTAGCATTTGAGTGCTGAACCCCTGTGCCGCTGGGCTCCGAGTCAGCACTCAACGGATGCTTAACACACCTGCTGTTTCGTCTGTTTCTCAGATCTAGTGGATGCCACATTTTCCTGTGACTTCTAAAGACCTAATCTCCGATTTCAAAAACAAACCCACTGCCAGCGAGTTGACTCCAATTCATAGCGACTCGCATAGGGTTTCCAAGGCTGTCAGTCTTTATGGAAGCACTCACCTCGTCTTTCTCCCACAGAGGCTCATGGGTTCAAAGCACCAACTTGGTTAGCAGCCCAGTGCCTTAACCACAGCGCCACCAGAGCTCCTCACCCCAGATCTAGTTCTTTCCAAAATCCATCGCCGTAGAGTCGGTACCGACTCATGGTGATGCCATGTGATGGGTAGACCTGCCCTGTGGGGCTTCCTGGGCTGTAATCTTTAAGGGAGCAGGTCCTTCTCTCAGGGGTTCCCACTGCCGACCTTTCAGTTAGCAGCAGAGTGCTTACCCGCTGTGCCACCAGGCCCTCTTTTGGGGGGTACACTTAGCACGGACATTTCCTTTATCCTGTGAGCTCGCTGAACTAAGACTCAGAATTTCCTGAGACAACTCACACTCAGTTATTGAGACTCTAGGGCAGGTTGGGGGTAGCATAGTGGCTAAGACACTTGCCTGCTAACCAGACGGCTGGCGGTTCAAACCCACCAGACACTCCTCGGAAGGAAGGTTGGGCAATCCTACTTCCGTAGTGATACTGCCTCGGAAACCCAAGGAGGGGTCGCTTTGAGTCGGGGCCGACTCGACGGCAAACAACAACAACAACAACAACAGGGCAGGTTGGGAGTCCCTGCCATGATGGGTTTCATGTCCTCCCTGCTTGCTCCTTGGGGACGCCTGCTCCTTGGTGACAGCAGCCCAGCTGTCCCTTGCTCCTTCTGGCCCGTCTTGTTCACGTCCCTTTGCTTCTCTGTTCAGCTGAGGCAGAACCTTGTCACCCCGCTGCTAGCAACCCACAGCCATTTAGTCATGAGAATTTCCAACGCTGGGGGAAATGATTAGGCGACATGATTTCCTTGGGGGAGAAGAAGAAGAAAACCAACGCCCCTTTGTTTTAGGGGGACTGGAGGTTTATTTGTTGACATCTGAAAGCACTGATTAAGTGCACGTTGTTAGCAGGGTGCTAGACGTATCAGAGATAGTCGAGTTTGGAATCTGAGCCACCAAGTGGCATCCTCCGTCCACCCGGGGGCGGTGTCAGGGTATGGAGACGTCCATCCTGCTCCCGTGTTGGATCTTGGGCTGTCAAGAGAGAGGCTTTCACCTGAGTGCGCCCGCAGCTGTACAAATCACCCCGCCCTGCAAAAACGGGCCAAGAGTGTCCCTAGGACACAGGTTCTGTTTCTAAGGTGGCCATGTTCTGTAATGGCAGGCCGACCTCCTGTGCAGGAAATTGTGAAAAAAGTGAATGTCGGCGTGTGCTAAAGGTAGGCGTTTGAGAGAATAAATTAACTCCCTTTTTTTTATTGCAACTCGGCAGACAGGAGCTGCTTCTACTTCTCCGTCCGCGCTGCTTAGCAACAAGGCCGGGAAAGCAGCTGGCTGTCCCCGTCCGCACACACGCACGCACACACACGTGCACACGCATGCACACACGCACACTTCCTGCCCCATTTAGAATCTAAGCTGCTTTGTAAAGGAATTTGGAGACTTTTGTTTGCCATCTTCACAAAAAGAGCATGCTTATTTGGGCACATGAGGGTGGTGGGGATTTCAGCACCTCCTTGGCTTTTCTTCCCTGCACTTCCGGTTGTAACGTCTCCCATCTTGACATTCCCAAGGCCGGGCCTTGCACAGCCATGTCTGTCCCCGAGATCCTTTCCTTTCTGTCTGTGTGGCCACGTGCCCAGTGACTTCCGGATTCTTCCCACATGTCTGTTAGTAACACTGGCAGCTGGACCCCTGTGGTGCACGGAGCGGGCCGTGAAGGCACCCCTGGACTTTTCCGGGTCCCATTCCTTACCGTGTCCTGTGTTGTGGGTTGGATGGAATCACCGAGCTCCGCCCGCACCGCTGACTAGGGTGCATTATGGCGTCAGTCAGACGGAGGGAGCCGTGGGCGTCTCCGCGCAGCCCCGGACGCGCGCTCCAGATTCAAACTGGTTGCTGGGCTACCAGCAGAGAGAGCTGGTGGCGCCAAGGGGTGGGAGGCGGAAGGCAGGAGGCGACGCGTGAACGGCTGGGGAGCAGGGCAAGGGCCTTGGGGGGGGGGACGGCTTGCGTTTCCTGTCTCGCAAAGGCACGATTTTGGAGACGTGGTGTTTACTGGGTTGACGTCAGGAGCAAACACTGCAGCGGCAGCTCTGGGGCCAGCCTTGGCCATGAGCACCAGCCAGGGCTCCTGCTAAATGACATTGTGAGGTAAACATCTTCCTCTCCCTCCTGGAAGCAGCCCTGGTGGCAGAGTGGTTAAAGCGCTTTTCTGACAACGGAAATGTCCGTGGTTTGAACCCACCAGCCCCTCGGCATGAGAAAGATGAGGCAGTTTACTTCCCTAAAGATGACAGCCCGAGGAACTCCATAGGCACAGTTCCACTCTGTTCTGTAGGGGCGCTGTGGGTCAGAATGGACTCCACAGCAGTGGGTGTGGCTTGGGCCTTGCTTCTGTGAAGATTGACAGCCTGGGAGACCCTGTGGGGCAGTTCCACTCTGTCCTCTAGGGGCGCTGTGGGTCAGAATGGACTCCATGGCAGTGGGTGTGGTTTGGGCTTTGCTTCCATGAAGACT